TAGGGAAAGGGAAAGGTTTAAACCAGCTTGTGGGTCTATTTGTTGGCTATTTGCTGGCCAGTCTCCGCAGTTCCCAGTAATATGATTGGCAAAAGATCTCTTATATGCAAAGCATTTGGAAGATTCTAGATAGAGGAAATCCAGTTGAAAAAGACAGTCACCTGGCATTTTGGCTTAGCCAACCTCAACTTCATTGTGTGTGACTGGGCAGTCATATGTTACAGAGCATGGCTCTTTTTTAATCCCTCTTAAAGGGAATGTTCCCCTATGTAGGTGAAGTAGCACAGAGTGGGGAGCCTGTCAGCAGCTGCATAGTGACTGGGAAGAGTGTGCTTTTTGTAACTGTCTGTAAAGGAAGGTAAGATGAAGCACATGAAACAAAAATAACTTTATGAAGCATTAGGTGATTATGGGAAATCTCTACCTCATTTATTTCAGTTTTTTCCATCCCCTATTTAATTCAGAGTATTATTAGATGGTACTTTGCTCTGTACCTGATTAAGTTATTTATATGCACTCTTAAGGTTAAATGCAATAAGGCAATAATAAATTCTGAAGTACTTGTTAGGAACTGACAAGCAGATGCAAAATGTTCCAGAATGATGTCAGTATGGGTTTCTTCAGTACTAGCTTGGGAATGCATGACCTCCATTGCAACCATGGGAGTATCACAAGCCATCATTGACTTGACCTTCAGGAAACTGTGCTCTAGATTTTATCTCGGTCACGGAATTGCTGAATACCACAAACTATGCGGTATTCTCACTTATATTATGGTCATTCCTCTTGACTGAAGCAAACCCTATATCAGGGGTGGGCAATTATTTCAGGCAGAAGGCCACTTACTGAGTTTTGGCAAACTATTGAGGGCCGCATGGGTAGCCCCACCCCTAGACAGGTGCCCCACCCCCTGGTCTTCATTTTGTGACCAGAAGTTCTGCCCACCCAGCCCCTGACCTTTGCCACCCAAAGTCCCTCCCCTTGCCCCCGGAAGTACTCCTTTCAGCAAGGGGTTTTGCCACCTTAGAATCAGAAAGACACCAAATAATATTCTAAAAAGCAAATGTCTAAAGCATTCATTAATTTGATTTCAAAAAATATTTTTGTTCTGATTTACATGTGTTCGTGTAGTATTCATAGAGGTGATTGCACAATAGCTAAAAATTAGGTCTTACTCTTGTATATTGTGGGAGGTGCATTTAGATTTGTGGGGGGCTGTGGGGGCATGTGGGGTTTGGGTGTGTCTGGGGTTTGTGGGGGATGTGTGTGGGGGAGGGTGGCTGGGGTGTATGAGGGGGTGTGGGGGTCTACATGTATGGCAGTGCGAGGGGGGTGTGGGTGCATGTGTATGGTGGGGTGTGCATGTGGGACTCACCCTATGAACATACACATATAGACACTCTGCCCCTGCCTGGACACACAGACACACACATATACACACATATTGGTGCAGCCCCATGCTCCCCCGTCCAGCAGTGCAGCTGGGAGCCACGTGGTGCCAGAGCAGGGAGAGGGCAGGAAGAGAGTGAAATGGCTGGGGCTGGGTGGGGCTGGGCTGTTCAGTTCTGCTGAGGGCTCCCCCTGGGTCTTACTTCTCCTTGCTACTGTCAGCTTTGACAGGCAGCCAGGAGCAAATAAATATTAATTTACTAATTTTTTTAGGGGCTCTGAGGGCTGGATAGAATGGCCTGGCAGTCTGGATGCAGCCCATGGGTCATATTTTGCCTGCCCCTGTTCTTTATCCTGGGACCTATTTTACTGGCATACCCTCAGGCTAGTAGACCCAATTTTGGTATCATAACTCTTCTAAGGAAAATGCTGTTCAGCTGTTGCTTGCTATGTTCATCTTCCATCTTTCCCAGTTTCGTAGAACCCACATGCAATAGCACACCATTTGGTTGGCAAGTGGGGCACAAGCCCTGGGCGCTGCATGAGAGAAGGTGCTGGAATGGAGTGGGCAGAGGGGAGTGGTTTCTCATGCTCCCAACCTGCCATCCATGAAGAGCACGTACGCTCGGTGGCTGGTGGGGCACAGCTGTGCTTGTGGCAGTGGGAGTGTGGTGGCAGCAGCAGGAGCACGGTCGTGGTGAGTGGGGAGCTCCCACAACATGCCACTGGCACTGTCAGGGGTCAGCGACCACCCATAGGCACCGCTGGCAGTGTCCAGCGGCAATTGCTGACTGCCCACAGATGCCACTGGTGGTGTTGGTGGCAAGTGCCACCTTTTTGCAGGGGATGCACAGTCATGCTTAGGGGGTGCATGTGCACCTGCATGCACCCCCTGCGCATTGCCCCTGCTGCCATCCCTCCCATGCCCTGCACTTTCCCTTCTCTGGCTCCAGATGCCAATGGTGTGTGGTAGAGGAGCAGTAGGAGGTTTCCTGCTGCTGGTGAGATTGGGGGCAGAGGGGAGGAGGGGAAGATGTCACTTCCTTTTTACTGTTAAAAACCAGCATTTTTTTTGGCTGCTTGACATCCATTTCAGTGGCAAAAGAAGGAGGTGACATCTCCTTCCCTTCTAGCAATGAATCTTGGGCTGCTCTTTCACTGTGTACTGCTACTGCTTCTTTGTCTTCCCTGTTGCTGCAACCAGTGCCAGAGCTGAAGCCAGACCAGGGAAGGTGCAAAGTGTGATGGATGGCACATAGTGCAGCCCACAGTTGCACAATGCGGGGCAGTTATGCCTCTGCCCAGGTTAGCTAAATTTGGCATCAGTGTAACATAGTAGCAGAGAAGACACATCCTGCAGTATGCAAAATGTATCCAAAACCTTGTTTTCATGGTGGTACATGGTGTGCTCTCCCTCAGGTGGCTTTGGTATGGAGATGAACAGAAGCAACCTATCCTTCACAGACAAATTTAAGAACCTTTGACTTAGTGCATCGGTAGTGGGCAGCTTGCTGAACGTTGTTTTTGGCACAGAGATTTTTTTACAGTCCTATGCTATAGCAGGGGTGGGGGGTGAAATCGTTCTTTTTTTGCCTACGCCTGTCATGCCTATGGTAATGGAATTTTCCAACTGAAAAAGGAGACTTTGGTGGAACAAAACACTTTGAATGAACAGTCAGCAGAATCTGGACTTAGGTAGACAAACATCCTCCCCTGAAGCAAACAGCAAAAACTCCTTTCCTCCTGCTTGCTAAAATTCTTGTTATATTTCAAGATGTTTTGCTATAAACAGGAAAGGATGCAAGTAAAATAGATTTTGACTTTGATTTTACATACTTTGATTTGTTTGTTATGTTATGTTTTGGGTATCCCAAAGCACTTGCACAGTAAAGATTAAAAATAGCTAAGAGGCAATCATCATTGAAAGAACAGATGGATTGTGCACACTGTGGGAGTTGTCTTCTGTGCCACCATGTTATCTTGCTGTCGAAATTCAGTTAACATGTGGGTCCTTAGAAACTGTTGGATAAAGCTCCTCATAAATGCTTGGGCTTTCCAACAACTCTAGCTGTCTTCACATGGTCCCTCTTTTGTTTAGTGACTGTGGAGCTGGCCCATGTGATGTGGGCATAGGGGTTGTTAAACTGTAGTAGACTTTTTTGTATTTTCGGGACGGTGTTTAAAAAATCTGTTGTTTATAGGGTTTTATATAAAGATGTAGGACTCCTTAGCTGAGTCATTAACTGAGTCAACGTGATGACAGGCACTTGATTTCTTCATAGAAATAAAAAGCTGTTTATGCTTTTGATCAGGTGTGTCTAACTTCCATCCAGGAGCACATCAGTGGGAAGTGCAGGGAAATGAGAGACAAAGACAGTGAAGTCTTGCAGGGAAAAACCCATATGAATAGCTAGACCAAGAGACAGTGTGTTAGATGTATGTGTTTCTGTAATTTCTTTAACAGTAAAGGAAACTCCTGGAAGGTAAGTAAGTCAGATCTTCTGCTGAATATGTATAGTTTAGGCTAGGTTCTAATTCACCTGTACAGTGAGTTGTACTTTATTCTCCAGATTGGCTCTGAAGTCAGTGGTACTGCTTGTGTATATGGAGGGATTCAGCATGACTTAGAGTACTGAAATTCTGCCATTCTTCAGAAGCAGGTGAGGAATGCCTTCTACTTACATTTAGTTTTTCAAAGTATATTCAAAAGGTTAGTTTGTTTTACTAGCTAGACCATCCTATCGAATGCCACCTACCTAACCACTTCCTCCCAGACTCCCACTCTACAGTCTCAGCAGGCTTCCCAGTTTTGTTTTCCATGCACTATAACCCAGATCCTCAAAAGTATTTAGGTGCCTAACTGAAATCAAGGGAAGTCTTCCTTCCTTTTAATCTCATCTAGCAGCTCAGGAGCAATGATGGGGCCAAATAAAGTTTTGTCACTCATTCAGTTCCTATAATTTTGTCTATAACCTACTGACTGACCACAACTTCTTGGCTTGTACCTACATCAAGGTGGTCCATCCTCAAGGTGGTACAAGCTGGGTCTAGGACTGCTTTCAAGATCAGGCAGACAATGTTTATACAGTGAATCTGATATCTTTTATTAGACCCATTTAAATAGATCAGGTGCACTTGTTCCAGAGTAGCCTCTAGGTCTAAGAAGAACATGTGTATTTTCAGTGTAGTTGACTGTTTTCCCAGTAATGAAAATGGGGAACAAAGAAAATAGAAAAATAGACTCCATCAGATTTATTTTTCACTCTTTTTATTTTTTTATGGTTATGGTCACTTCTGTAATGAAAATGTAAGCTTTGGGGACTGATTAGCTTGCTCCACAGATAGGCTTCTGAACTACTGGAATATGAATCCTTCTTCTGTGATTTTCTGTGAAACAAAGAATGCAGACAAAACACTGATATTCTCAGGCAAATTCCTAACAAAACTGTATTAGAGGTCCAGATGCAGAAAGATCATATGACCTCATGTTTGCAATAGTTAAATGCTGAGAGGCAGAATTAGAAAGGAAATCTACTGTAATGTCTATAATCCAAAATAGTTTATAATATTTGCCATTAGAACAGATTATGAGCCCATGTGTGGCTCAAAGGATTAAAAAAGAAAAGCAATGTGAATTTTGTTCTTCAGGAGAGACAGGGACACAGTGCCTGTCTGAGGTACAGAGGGAATAAATTACTACTTTATAAGTTTTCTATCTATCCTGCCTCCTCATTCTGGGTATATCTACATCCTGGCCTTTAAAAACATCCTTTTTATTCTAGCCTCCAGCCACTCTTAAATGTAGGCTGCAAGTCATGTTGAGTGCAACAGCTTCGTGATGTGCACAAAGGATGAAGTCTGTGATGAGACCACTAACCTCATTTTCACTTGTAGCCTAAGGATAGATTTGCACTTGGCTTTCTAGAGGGGAAGGGTAAAGCATTAACAAACGTTATAGTGTTTTTCCCTAGCAATTCTTTACATTACACTTTTCAATATATTTCAAGAATGTCAGTAGGTTTGCTCAGTGACCTAGTGCCTGTAGCATAAAACAGGATGGTAAATCTGTACTTCCTTTGATAAAAGAAAACCCTACTGTGATTGTACAAGCCTGAGAAAATGTAGAGCATCATGCTGAATATATTTCTTTTATGTAGGCAGGTAAAAATAAACTGTTCACTTACCAGTTTCTAAGATCCTCTGATAGATGGTGGCAGTGTTTTATGAAAATTGTTCAGTGTTCTTCTGAGTGGGTTCTTTTTTTGGCAACTCCGTGCATAACTGAAGGTTGAAAGAGATTTGTTTTTGCAAATTCCTACACATTTGATCATTTAGTGCTAAACTCTGCCAGCAGATCATTTCTGTTGTATGAAAAGTGACTTAATGAGGTCTACAATGTAAAGCTTGTAATTCTTCCATATTCCCAAACATGCACTGCCATGTTTCGGATGATGAAGCCCTTTCAAAAGTAATGGTGAGGTCACAAAGGAGCATTTCTGTCATAGTGGCAAAATGGCATTTTAGGTGGGATGAAAGAGGGTAGGAAATATTATCTAGGCATGTGAAATAACTTCCAGATTGTCTGTTTTGACTTTTAAGAGTAATGTAAATATTGTTCAGAAAATGTTGTTAGAAAAACCGTCATCATAAAATTAGGTAATGAAATAACAGGCATGTTCATTTAACAGATAGAATAAATCTACTTGAATAAACAAAGCACATTGATAAATAACAAAAAATACGTGCCAGATGATCATGAATGATGATATACGTTGATAGTTTAGAGCTGTAACCTTCTCCTCTGTCTGATTGTCTCACATTTGTGAGAGAGTAGACTTTATTAGGCACCTTGAAAGCACTAAATTTTCACTGAATATCAGAAGCAAAATCCAAACATTTCCCTGATGGTGGAGTTTATGTATTTTCTTGTTCATGGCCACAGTGGTCTAATATACAGTTTCTATGGTATTAAACTTTGACTTAGAAGTCAATGACTTCATTTTAGCCTTTCACTATCACTGCAGTACATTTGTTTTGTCGGTTTCCCATTGTTATAATTTCAAACTGAGTATTTACTTGCAAAATCCAGAGCAATGTTTTGGAAAACTAATTAAGTTAGAGTTCAAAATTAAATGAGCTTCTATTTGGAAGAAACTTAACATTTTAAGAACTAGGTGCAATAAACTGAACTAGGTACAATAATATGTCCAAAGTTGGGAGAAGAGATTATTTAGTATTTGAAAGAGTACTTAAAGATTCTTAGATCTATATCAGAACATCCTATAAACTGCATTATATGTTTGGTTGGATTTTTCTTTACAATGCTAGAATGTCTTTTCAAATAGCTGAGTACTCAGCACCTTGGATCTAATTCAGGAAAGAATTTCAGCACAAGCTTAAGTTAAATATGTGCTTACATTCTTTGCTGAATTGGATCCAAATTAAATTTACTGGGTAAGGAACAAAATACCCATGTTTATATATATTTATGAAGACAAAGAAGCTATTAAGATTTCTTTTGATTAAATATTAGAGTTTAGTCATAGAATTGTTACATTTATGTAAGATGAGCCTAGGCCTCTGAGAGGGTTTCAAAATCTTATTCAAGTCTTGGTTTGTTTTTCAAATTAAACTTTATAGGTCCAAATCCTGAATCTTTACTTCAGTGACTGTCTTACTGAAGTCACTGGGAGTGTTTTCTGAAGAAGGCGTTGGCCTTTGGCTTGTTATTTTATTGGGGAAGAACCACTTCCTTCTCTGGAAGTTCCCTGGAGAGGTCAGAGAGAAGTCTTAGAGACCACCACATTCAAGGAGGGACTTTCTCTCAGCAGAACAGGAAGCAGGTAATAAACAAACTACATAGTAACAAACAAAGCACATAGTAGATGTCTAGGTGCAAAATGGAGATACTGACCATTCATAAAGAAGCCATATGTTTCTGCAGTATCTCTGGTCATTGGTGGACATTTTACTGGAGCCATGTTCTTAGCAATTTCTAGTGGGGCTGGAATATCCATGGGGGAAGAGGGAATGATGCTCTACTTGTCTGTTCAGCCAAGAGCTCCTCCCCTGTTGCACAACCTAGAACCAAATACCAGGGTAGGTGAGCTTTGGAGCCGTGTGTTGTACTTATCATTCTGCTCAGGCAGAGTGAAATCCATGAAAGGAGGATCTCACCTTGTGTTACTACTGGAGATCTCACCTTGTGTTACTGCTGGGGATGAATTCCTTGCTGATCTGGGCAGGGTTATTGTATTGGGAACATCCTTTAGAAGTTTATCAACATTTGTTTCTACCCTTCTTTTAGATTTTTTTTTTGCTGTAGAACACAGATTGCACACATAGAAGAGGCTTTGACTTTCTAGATAAACATGTGCAATATAGGAAAGAAGGTTTAAACATTGGACACAGGACTGGAAAGGGCTTCCTACACCATTGTGTCCAGCTCCCTGAGTTTGCAGGCAATCATTACCTGAAGGGATCTCCGCAATTGCTGTTTCAAACCTTCTGCCACAAAGGTGTTTGCATTTTTCCTTTTAAACAATCAGGCAGACTATCAATATTATACACCTGTTCAGGGTTATAAAGAATTGACTCAAGAAGGAAAAATGATATGAAAGAATTGAAATAAATTAAAAAGAGGCCCCTGAGATAGGATTCAGTTCCTGAGCCCTAGGACACAGTCTCTTTAGGAAGAAAAAAAAGCCCTTTTGGGTAAAGGAGGTCAGTTTATTTTTCAGAAAGCACCCTGTATATTCTCTTTTCCAAGGCCACTTACTCAAAAAGAACAAGGGTCATAAAAATGAGGAGAACCCTTATATATTAGAAACAAGTTAGACAGTAAAGACTTAGAACACAGAAATACTGTTATATTAATTTTTCCTCCTTATAACTGCTCCAAGTAATGGTGTCTAGCTTCCTTCACCCATGAGCAACTGAAGTAACTAGGCCTATAGGTCCTAATTTCATAGCTTTCTGCACTGTAAAAAGAGAAGAGCGATATTGGGAGAGATGTGACAATTTTCCTTTGGGCTACACTGGGTGTGTCTACACGTTCATTAATGCATCTTAGATACTGCACATTTAGTTTAGTACTTGCTTAATAAAGACCTAACTAAATGCGCAGTAACTAGATGTACTGTGCAGTAGCGCCAGTGTATGGTTAGTTTGTGATGCTTACTGTGCATTTGCCTAATAACACTTTGCAGTAGGCTATTAGCCACACTACTATACAGTGTTATTAGCAGGGATCTGGGTTTTCTGTTTCAAGTGAAAAAACACGGATTTTCCCTTTTAGGGGGGAGAAAAACGCAGATTTTCCCTCTTTGAAGCAGCTGTTAGATTCCAACGAATCTGTGAATTCTGATAAATACCTTGTGACAAGAACACAAAAAAGGAAAGGGCCTACCCTCCACGCAAATCCTTGTCTCTTAATATCTTTTGACATTTATTCCCTATACTTTCACAGGCCAGTTCTTTAGAGCATCAATATGAAATGAACTTGTTTTTTTTACAGTCCGAGAAATTGGGACTACTGCTCTTCTGAGTTATTTATTAATCCTTTTAAGGAGGGATATTTGAATAAGAATGAATGTTACAGCCAGGAGCTTCCTCTGTACTCTGTGTATATTCATGTTGAGGATTATACACTGATTGTCAATGTTCCATTAAAAGGAGTTAAGCGATTTAGGTTTTTTGACTGTCATAACAGTGACAGAAAAGAGCACTGTATCTGACCTAGTATTCAGACATACTTTAATCTATTTGTAATCCTTCCAGGAGATTACAGACTCCTGAATTCTCTGAGAACAACAGGGGTTAGTTTAAAATACATATATATCAATGGTAGAAGTAGTTTAAATAGATTCAAACATTGTTCTCAGATATTTGGCAGTACAATTTGATAGTAAAATTTAAGGTATTTGAAATGCATTTTTATATATTTGCTACTTGTTATTGTAAAATAATGTATACTTGAATAACCAAAGGTGTTAGACTACTTTAGCAGTAAAAGCTTCTTTGTTTTCTGATCTTTATGTGCATATTCTTTACATATTTAAGGGAAAACATTGTTTTCCAGTTAAAACAAGGCATATTTAATCCATTTGTTCAATATGTTACCAGTATGCTGGGGCTCATTTAGAACTGTTTGTATTTTCATATGATGTACACTTTTGAAATATGCATGACATTTTAATTTCTTCCCCCTGAAAACTGTTTCCTGAACAATAATCCAAGGAGAGCAATTTATTTTAAGGTGCATAATTAATGTGCACAGGGATGGCTTTTTTATTCCTCGCTGTCACAAAAGTTATTTAATTCAAGAGCCAAGTTCATTTCCCATGGATGCTTAAAAAACAAAAAGAATGATATAAGCAGCTGTGTTAGACACCACTTCCACAGCACTGCATTTGATAAACATTACCTCCTACTCCATGTGACACAGGGAATGTTCATACCACTTGTCCTTTTTCCTTTAAGAGAGTCCTTATTTTATCCGTCACTGTTCTGTGGCCTGCAGTACTTGGTTACCGTTGATGCTTTCCTTCTCTCCTTGTCCTTGCCTCTAGAATAGGAAATGGAGTTGCTTTTCAGTGATAGGGCCAACCTTTTAGCAAGCGTCCTATGTGTTAATAAGGACATTGGTGTTAGAATTAACACTGGCACTCTATTCAGTAACCTAATTGCACTGGGATACCAGGGACCACACTTGTACATCCAATTATTCATCCAGAAATGCCTTTATAGTTTATTTTGTCTGCAAAGTAGCATTTACTCCTATAGATCAAAACTATATGAGAAAAACACACCATGATGTCCAACAACGGGTGTGATTTTGCATTGTACCAATTAAACTTATTTGCTGGGACCATATACCAATAAGATTTTCACTCTTCTTTGCTTCATCTTTGTTCTAGAACAGGGGTCAGCAACCTATGGCCCACCAGCTGAATCTAGCTGTGAAGAAATTGGATTCAGCCCATGGCAGCTCAGGGATTCACAGGCCAGCCACAGCAGCAGAGAATGCCTCCCAGGGTCCTACTGCCTGCTGAGTTCAGTTTGTTCTCTTTCCTGCAGCAGAGGAGATTTCTCTAGGGTCCTGGTGCCTCCTGCTTTAACTATTTCATAGTTTCATAGATCTCCTTTGCAGACTCTTCTGATTTCAGTGGGGGTGCAGGGGTGCTGGTGGGTGGAAGCCTGAGGTGGGGGCTAAATTGCAAGCAGTAGCCAGTGGTGGAAACCCCTGTTCTAGAAGAAGCAGGAGCAAGAAGCCTTCCCAACTGGGATTGGAGCCTGCTGGCAGAATTGGGCCAGGGTGGTACCTGGTATGTTTTGGGCCAGGGTGAGGAAATAGCACATTTTATTGCCTAGTCCACACCCAGAGCAAAATGGCCTGGCTATTTTTTTGTTGCCTGGTTCTGGCCCACAGCATTATAGGCCTGGGCCCCTGCCCTTTTATTGCTTTGCAGCAGAGCTCTGCCGTATGTTCAGACCCAGGCCAGGATCGACCTGGATTACCTTCTTGGAGTAATATTGCAGCTTTCTGCCGTAGGAATTTTGGGGGTGTGGTATGCTGATTGAAGCTGCAAGTCATCCCCTCAAAGCCACCATGTGGAAGTGGAGGTCATTGCCCTACAGCTTCCCAGGGAGCAATGAGGGGCCCTTTGCACGGCAGAAGGACATATGCTTGCTCTCTAGCCACTCTCCAAGATGCAGCAAAACACCAAAGAGCACCTCATAGGACTCTCCTGCTGAGTAGCAGGTATAGGGGTGCAGGCCCCTAGAGATAACCTTTTGGGCAAGCCCCCACATCTCGGACTGCCTAGGCATGAGTGGAGTCTCTCCAAAAAGGGGTGCAAACTAGAGACTACACTTAGTAGTTAACAGTTTTTGAATTGCATTTGGTGTTTCCTTTTCTTTCTTTGCCTTTGTTTAGTGTAATGAACTTATCCTTTTGTGCTTACACTGCTTCTGAGGAGAGGCTTTTGTTTATGTGGGACACCTCAGGAAAATTCAGTGATCCAAGATTTCTGGGTGGAGGCTCGAGCCACTTTCAGCTGGTTTAAAATTAATCATGAAAGACTCATATAACTCTTCTCCTGAGTTCTGGCCCCATCTTTTCCTGTTGACATTTCTGTATATAGGTATAGATCATTATTAACTGTAAGTAGAAAGATGTTCTAGCTACTTAGCTCTGTTTCACAGAGGGCACATCTACATGTGGATTGATGCTTCATAATTACTGCACAGTAAGTTTATGTGAAGTAGACTAATTCTACTGTGTATTAGCGCATTAGCATGGTTTTCACAATGCTATGCTAATGCGCAGTAGAATGAGTCTACTGTGCTTTTAGTGGCTTGTATAGATGCACCCAGTATAGAGAAAACAGGACCTAAGATACACACAAGATAGTAAGAGAGAAGGAGACACATATTTGTAGGTATTACTTTGCATTCATATGATTCTAGTCATTAGTTCCTTATGACACCAATGCCAGAGGCCTCAGGCTGGGTACTATTCCCAAGAGCTGTAGCAGACCCCAGGACCCTCTTGACAGGGCATGCCTGAAGGTGTGAAAGCATTGCAGCACATTGTCCCTAGTAATATAGCAGCTTCCATAGTAACAGTAACTAAGACTATCCCTTGTAGTCATTTTAACTAAGATAACAGAACATTTTTAAACTCTTCCTTTCACATTTGCAAAATTCCTTGGCTAATGAAGGAATTTTGGCTATATGTGCATGAAGAGAGTACACATTACTATATTTCTTGGCAAGATATTTGGCTTGATTACTTCTCTTTATACTATTTCCAGAGCTGAAATTGATTTGTCTGTATGTTATTGAATCTTTTTAAAATTCTGCATACAGTTACAACCACAAGCTACTATTCATTTTGCGATTCATTGTTTACTAAGTACACATAAAGACATAGGAGAAGCAATGTTCAGTGGATCAGGGACTTCATTTAGGGC